TAATTGATAATCATCTATAATTTGATTTTTCTTTTAATTTTATTTTAATTCTACTAATATCGATACAAGAAATTAATGAAATTCAATTGACTAAAAGCTTTAATTATTTGAATTTTATTATTTAGTTATTATTTGCAATATCCTTATTTAGGAGCCTGAACGCAAGAAATACATTTATTATTGTTATACGTATATTAGAAATCAACGTAAAAAAGTAAATGTAGTACGCACGTTTAACGTTAAGATGACATTTTATATACTATGTTACACGAGAATAATGCTAACCATATATGAATCTTCCGGCAAAATTAATCAAATCACGTTAGCTCATTAGCGTTAGGCATTAATTGAATCAAATGTATTGTGTTACGCACTTAAATTTTATCGGCTGGGTGAAAACATGAAATCTAATTTTCGAACCACAATTTGACAATGCCGATTTCCTATTTAAAAAAAGTAACTAAAAGCACATGTTTATGCGCTTTGCAAAAGTCAGCACTGTGGTTTTCGTGATGATAGTGATAAATTTGAGATTTTAAGTTGTCTAACGATCAATTTTCAATCAGCAACGTCTATGCTCGAAAATTTAAAATTTGGCAAAAAATCAAAAAATCCGAATCCGCTGATTTTTATATTTCACGTCGTGGTCTACAGAGGTCGCACCTTCGATAAATCGAAGCCCATATCCGTTAAATGAATTATTTAAATACCATTGCGTATACGAAGATCATAGTCATAGCACAAAAATTGGCGGCCCCGTGACGATGCTAACATAATTTTTTGGGTACTGTATTTGCATTAACGTTAACTGTAATACAAATATATCTAATATAATGACGGACAACTTATTTCTTATTTATTTACGTACTTACAATAATTATTTTTTTACTTCGGGATTTGTGTGTTACACATTGAACTTAAAATCACTAATTTTACGCCATGATTACAATACTACACTAACGTCGTTCACCTTATAAGTTTCTCTGGGTGGTCAAATTTCATGATCAGGTGTAAAATAACGCAGACAAAACAATCAAAAATCGGTTATAACTCAAATATCTAATGAACCAGTTTTCTGCGCACTAACAGAAAGTTTTTTTTACGAGTTTTTGGTATTAACAAAGCTCTCTCTAATCGAACATAATAGCGAAAAATGACCTCAATCTAATAGAGAAAATTTTTTATCGAAATTTTTAAAGCCAATAGTGTTAGAGTTTACTGGTACTTGAAATTAGATCTTTCATGAAATAGGTTATAATTAGAGTGTCCAGGGTACTGCGGTGCATACTATTGTTCTCGTAAGAGACACGTGATTTAAATTACTTTCTAAATGTAAAAAAGTATTTTTAGCGTGAGCAGAATTATGCACTGCAGTACCCTGGACACTCTAATAATTCAGTTTTAAGCAGGCACGACAGTTTATACATTTTAAACCTTTTTCCACATTAATTACATTGATGCAATAAAGTATGTACAATATCCACATATGTTAAATTCAGAGTATTATACTAACAATACAAGATCGGTCCTTTGAACTAATCTGTACAAAAATTGCGTTTTTTGTATTTATATGTAAAAGATATGTTCATCATAAAATTTTATATTAAACATTATCCTTACTTATTCTATTACACAATATATCTTTTGTTCTTTAGAAATGTATGTTTTTACGACTGGATAATTCGATAAACCGAATGCAGATCAAATCCATTGTCAGCGGCTTAAATCAGGGAGGAATCATGCCTGTCATTATCCATAAATTACGAGGTACGTAACAAATATATTTGCCATTATCTAATCAATTTTAAATATTCAGCTGATTTCTATTACGATCTACGTGTAGCAATATATGCTGTATTATCTCGCAGACTCGCAGATAGCAACAAAAGCTAAAATGTTTGGTGAATGATGATATCAATTTTCGGGACAATACGGCAAATAATTATTATTTATATATTCTCAGCTATAAAAATCATAAAGATCGTATGAAAAATTATAAAAAAAATTGTCAAGATGCCTCGTATTACTCGCGGCCAATATAATAATTCTTCTGATCCTTTGTATGAGGCCCTGCAAAACGTTCAAAATGAAAACAGACGGTAGTTATAATATTTTTTTAAAATGGCTTTATAGTTATAGATATTTTACATTAATTTATTTACTTATATTTATTTAATTTTAAATTATAGACATCTCCGTCGTATTCGTCACCTCGAAAATCGTGCTCGGGACTTAGAGCAGCAATTAGAAAATATGAGAGAAGAACGTGATTCTTGGATGGAGCGAGTAACTTCTAACGTGGCTGATGATTATTTTAATGAAAGTCGACTTGAACGTATACGACGGGAGAGAGATTCATTGCGAGCTCAACTTCAAAATTTAATCGATAATAATTCTAGCATTAATACACGGAATAATAATAACTATAATAATAATAACGATAATAACGATAATAACCATAATAATAACGACGATAATAATGATAATGATAATAATCGTGGCACTTCTTCTCGAGTCACTTTTGCGTAATTTGATGCAGGCTCCATCTTTAACATTTTATTTATTACTTTAATAGTTATAAATGGAAATATTTTGTTGAAAGTTATCTATAGTCATCTGACCTTGTCAAAAAATGAGCAAAATAATGCGTGGTTATTTTCTATTGATGTAATCAAAAAACTTTAAGATTTAATGCATTTAAGTTTCAGTATTTATCTTTCGTGATGCATTTTATTATTAATGAAATAGATATAATTTGTTCAAATTCACTGAACTTTACTGTTATAATTGATTTATTAACTTTAATCTTGTTGATTCAATAAAATAAAAATTAAATTTTAGTATTTATCTTTATAAACGTCTCCAATTTAAGTTCGGTTTATTCACATAAATATAATGAATACAATTTATATCATTTATTAATATGAATCATCAGTATAGTCGCTTTTCATACGAATATGATACAGCACAAATCTTCATAGATGACAGAGTCGTACTAATGTAAATATGAGAAATTCATCGTGATACTATTAAAAACAAATTTGAAGCGGGTAAGTATATATTAATATTTAATTTATTATATAACATTTTGATCAAATTAAATTATAAAATATTTTTATTGGGAAGTTTCAGAATTACTTATTTGAAAATAAGTGGAGTCATATTTTTGTTTTAAATTCAGAATCAGAAAATTAAATAGACATATTCGACAATAAATTTACTTTTTTTTGATAAATATCTACCGACAAGCAATTATGTAAATAAATATATACAGAACTTTAAGAATAAATAGATTTTATAGGTCTGCTTCGCATTCATTAAATATAAATTATATTTTCTGAACTAATTTAGTACATAAATGTATTTTATATAATGAATATTAAGATTGTAATTGGCCTCGATACTAATATGATTCAGAACAGTAAACAAAATAGTAGAGATTGAGATTACGCGAAAATTTTTTTTCCTCTATTCCAGAAATAATCCATTAGAAAATTAAGCTTATTATGAAGAATCACTTAAGATTTACTATATAAAATCTGCCGCATGTATTTTTAGTACGTATAGCAATGCATACACCTAATTATGGAATCAAAAAGTTGATTAACTTAAAAATCGCGCACAATTCATATAGCACATATAAGATATATAAAATTTTTGACGAATGTCTTATTCGGTTTAATCAATAAAGGAGATGTGGTGGATCATAGGTAAGATCGCTAACGATAACTTTATTGGAAACGATGTCGACGAAGAAAGATTGATTAATCTTTATTACTTATAAAAACTTTTTTATTGAATATCTATTCGAAAAAAATTTGAAAATTTGTCAAAATAGGCTCTTTAATACGTAGCACTCCCTATTTGTTAAATCTTTCACTAATATCGCTTAAGTCAAAATTATTCGTGAAACATTTATTTATTAAACCAAATAAATTTCTAAAAGATTTCGTAATTCGAAGATCTTGAATTGGAGTTAGTGTATTCTAACCCGTAATATGACATTCAATTTAATACAAGATACACCGACCAAACTACAAATCAAAAAAAAACTTTTGCAAATGTGAACCCAAACTATAATAAACCTTCCCAAATCTAAAATTTAATAGTAAAATCTGTCAAAAATTCGGAGCCTTAGAAATTTTGTCAACAATTAGAGGTATGTATTTGTTTACCTTGTCGACCGTTTACTTCGTTTAGCGTGCTTGCCTCTTATCAAATGACAATATGACGATTTCGGATTATTTTACTATTATAATATAAGTTAAATATTAATTTTAATTACTTTTAAATATTTTTTAAATATGCATACTAAAATTACTTTTTTTTTTAATATTAAAGGTGAAATCTTATATGCAAGAATTTGAAAGGAGACATTTGTTGAACCATTCTTCTATGTCATTATCTTTGAGATGACTTTCAGGTTTAAAAACGATGGAAAAAAAGTCGCTACCATGTGATCGCCAACATTTCCGAACCCTTTATATAATCAATATCGATATCATAATTAATTGATATTTAGCGATATTAAATCGTTTGATTACAAGTTAATAAATCAATATAGTAAACGTACGAACATGTAAAGGCGAAAATTTATTTACGTAGGTAGCTAAAATTGTAAATAGAGATATTATTTAGTTAATATAATTCCACATCCAATATATTATTCATGACATATTTGAAATCTTTCATGTGTCCTTTACCTGGCTTGAATTGAGAAATGGCTGTGGTATTTGTTTCTATTAATCTCGCATTCTTTTAATACTCTCCTAAGTCCACGATACGAAGAAAACTGTGATTTTTTTTTTCTTTGCACCTTTTTTTCGATGTGGGAGCATCCTCTTCGTTTTCTTTAATTCTTCCTGTTCTAAGATTTCTCCCTAATAAAAAAAAAATAATACAAACATAAATACCTTAGAAAAATTGAATAAAAAAAAAAAATTATTCAATATGCATACGTGAAACCTAGCTATCATTTTAAAAATGTCCTTATATTCTTCATTTTATCGTTTTCTTGATATTTCTGAGATTTCTATTATAATTCATAATGGATTTTAGTAAGAAAGGTATATAACAAGATGTGCTCATTATTGATATAAAAGCAAGACTAGGCAAGCATCTCCATAGAATCAACGCATAACACTCTTAATCCTTTCATTAAAAATTAAACACTAACTTTCAACTGTACTTGCACTGACAGTCCTATAATGAGCTTTGAAATTGTGAATGATAATTTTGAGCTCATCAAGGAACTTCGAATTTCTTTCTTAGATGAGTTGGACTCTTCCTTTTTTATAAAAGCTGTCCCAGCTGATTATATCCCATTTTGTAATGGCCTCTTCCAGTAAATTGGGTACCTCAAATCTTTTGTAATTGCATGATCAAAAGATTATATTAAGAAAAACGCGAAAGGAGAGTTAATTGAAAAGTAAGAATCAATTGAACAAAAAATAAGAAAGTATACTTTGGGCAAAAGTTTCTTTGTAAGGTAAGAAATCCAGGCATTTTTTCCAATTGAACCAATAAAGCGTGGTCATTTAGGGAAATATTTAATTGTTGAGAAAAATTGCGGAAATTTTAGGGAAACGTAATATTAACGATGTATACGACGCGAACAAAGTTGTATTGCATATATAGTATGCAAAACACCCGTTATAAGTAAAGCTGTATCACAAGCAAACCAGAAAACAAGATCTGGTGTAACTTGAAATTCATACTGTACGTTTTTTCGAAATTTGGCATATAAATTACCTTTTGCATTCTTGCAAATAATTAATTTCTTGGACAATTACCGTAAAAGATCACATACAAAACCCGGGTCTGTTACATTCACCGATTTTAAAACCTATAGTAGACCCGGGAACTGTACACAGCTGAGCGTTTATACTGTAGCAAGGTAAATTCTAAAGTACATACATACTTTGCATTCGTAATAAGCAGTCTGGATTTTTAAAAACATCTGCATTTATTTAATAGAGATCCTGTGATTCATACACGAGTCTAATTCATAGGGGATCTTTTATATGATCTTTACGGTATTAACCTTTTCTTTTTTGTAGGCTTTAGCTTGCTGAAAAGCAAAATGAATCTGATAGTAAAGTTGGGATCTGGGTTAAACCGTATAGGTATCATTTTATTTTGTGATTTGCTTTGTCTTTTAAAATAGAAACTACTGTACCATTTTTTTTTACTGCTGTAGAAGCGGTTGAAATACGATATAGACGCTTGATCTGGGCAATTTGAATAAGCACCAGCTTTATTCTTCGTTCTAGGATTCCCTTTTTTTTTAAAAAAAAAATATAATTAATATTTTCCTCTCTTTCTAGGCCTTTTCTTTTTTTTTTTTATTGGAGCGGTTGAAATACGGTATAGGTACTTGGTTCGAATAAGTGCCAATTCTTTCTTCTAGAGTTCACTTTTTCTTTCTTTTGCCCTTTTTTTCTCATGAAACGGTACAGTTTAAATGCGAAAATAAACACATAATACTTGGACCTGCGTGACTTTGCTAAATATCATTTTATTTTTGCTCTGTAGTTCGTTTTTTTTTTTTTTCTTAAAATAGAACTCAAAATTTTTCTCTTTTGTCTTATTTGTGATGGTTGGAATGTGAATGATTTTGAAGATATAGATCCGGGCAGAAAATAGGTAGTACATGTGATAAGTATAGGTTTTGTTCTTTGTTCGAGGGTTCCTTTGTTTTTTTTTGTAAGTTTAATTCGTTGTAACAGAATGCAAATGGCGCTTGAGGATTGGATCTGGGCCGAAGTATGACTTGAATAAACGATATGTATCAACTTCAATTATTTATTCTAAGATTTTTTTTTTTAAAAAAAATAATAACATAGATCTTTGTTGAAACAGTTAAACGTAAAATGAAACTTGAAGAAACAAGATAATTGGAAGTTATAATCATGCGGTTGATAAGATCATAATGTAGTCATTATAATCATACGATTTAATTGATGCACTTATTATGAGATGCGGTATATTATTCGAAAATTTTGAATCAAAATAAGTATGATGTGGTATTTGAATCATTATTTTAATAAAAATGTAAATATTATATTATTATTTATCGTATTCGTATTCGATCTGTTCATACAACATCTATTCTATATTATTTAAAAAAAGAATAAGACTTATCTGCTAACCCAGTCCTTTCAATTTAGATCACCCAGATAATCTTTATTGGATCTCGGTCAGGTTTTTCGTAGTTAGATAAGTAGCTTTGCTAAAATTTCGGATTCGATAATTTATTTCGTTTGGGTTGTACTGTAGTAGCATGATTAAATAAGATTTTCAATTTAGATTAATTGGGTTGCAAATTTACTGAATCTTGTGGCTTACACAACTCAGGTCATTTCGTGTAGTCGTGTTTTTCACAATTCACATAATTGACAGCTTTAGTAGGGTGTTCTCTGTTCTCAGGCACATAAGTTAATAGGTCGGAGTTCACCCAGCTTTTAATTAGCAGAAAATAGTTTGCAATGAAAAAAGGAAAATGGTCGAGACTGTCTTTTTTTATTATAAAAATTGTGCCGATAGACTATAATTTAATATCCGCATTTCATACTAGAATCTTCAGAAAATTGCCGTGAGGATTACTTTATTAGTGGATCATCGCAGTGAAAAAATATGGTCGAGACCATTTTTTTTTTATCAGAGCTGTGCTGATCGACTAAAATTTAATATCCGCATTTCGTACTAGAATCTTTATCGACGTTGCCATAAGGATTACTTCAATTAATCATAGTGTTTGCACATGGTCCAATCACTAGACAATTACAGTGGGAAAGAGGTTTGAAAATACCCTAGGTTACAAGGTTATTACCAATTATCTTTGTACATTTTTAACAAATTTTGTATTTTATTTTTTATATTGAATAAAATTATAAATATTACAGTATTAATACGTATTATGATTATTTAAAATTCTAAAATTTAACTAATACTTGAATTGTGAAATAAATAACTAACAATGGACTTAAATAAAATAAGGTGCATTACACGATAATAGGTATTGATGCAGCCAATTTCAATTCACTAAAAAAATTCTGATATGCATTAAGGAGATTTAGAATTAATGATTTGATTTCTGATTTCGGGGAAATAAGTGATCTATAGTATATCATCAAAGAAATACTCTTATTCTGTTTTCGGCTTTCAGAACCTCGAAACCGAAATAAAATAAAAATAAATAATTTTTTTTTTTTTAAAAAAAAAAAAAATTCATTTAATATTTGCTATACTATGTTTCCAAGGTTAGACTGTCAAAAAGAATTCTACAATTAATACATTTCAAATATTATTCAATTCCTTTGATTCATTATTTGCTATACTTATGTCTTCGCCACGTAGACTCTAAGATCACGAATAAACATTTATAGCAATACGTACCTACGTCTTCATTATAGTAGGATTCAAAATTATATTATCCATTCGAATTAACACTTTCAGCAGATTTCTATATTTTTTTATTCTTTATTCTTGTGTTCTCGTTATAGAAGAGTATTGGGCAGAAATCACATCATGTCAATACCAAATCCTGACTAACACGATATAGTTTCCTGTTGCTCATACCAGTTTAAGTTGGTTTAAGTGTGCTCTTGACGTACCCAAGTAAATTAAACCTTCCAACCCAAATAGCTAAAAGGCTTCGAAATAAATTTGCTATCAGCCTCTAAAACTTAATAAAAACCTTTCAACCTTAGCCGAATGATCAGAATCAAAAACCCAACTGGCCTATGAAATTTATTAAAAAAAACCAAAACTTAGTAGTAAAACTTTCGCAACAATTGCATAACTCGAATTATAAAAAGCCGAAACTCTCCTACCTAGATGTTACGAGTTGTGAATAGTACTCGGTAAAATCAAACAAAAATTTGATTTTCAAGTTTTAAATCTATATTGTGCTTTAATTAAAAAATCTATTTTTACTCTAATCTGACTTTAAGCTTCATGATAACTTACCACGAAGTCCAAAGTAAGACCGGATGCCTGTTAGATTTATATATTTGCTAAAAATAAAATTTGTATTTATTGTCTTATATTGTAAATTGATAGATTTAAAAATTTGAAAAACAAGTTTTTGTTAGATTTTGCCGTGCACTAGTTGTGAACCCAAAGCTTGAAAAACTGTCCACGATTTGAATTGTGAAAAATTGAGACTTAGTAAACAGTTCACTTGAGCGATCAATAAAAAAAACTCAAATTTAATATGAATAATTGGAATGATAGAATTGTGAAAAGCCAAGCAAATTGTAAAAACTTCAAGACTTATGAAACTATCCAGATCTGTAAACTATGAAAAAGCAAGGCTTCATAGGTTACCTAACGAACTTAAATGAAATGTAAAGAATTTGAGTGTTAGTGAAAAAAAAATATAAAAACTCACAAGGGAAGCTCATTATGCTAAT